TCTCTTGGCAGGGCCCTGCACTCCCAGCCTCTCCTTGCACGTTGCACCCCCATTCCAGAGAGGTTGAGTTAAAGGCAGGGGTTGCCAAGTCAGTCAGATCTTGGGCAAGTCACCACTCCTCCAGAGCCTCAGTTTCCTTATCTGGAAAGTGGTGGTCATGGCACCCGCCTCCCTGGTTGGATGGGAGCCTGAGCTGCTGTGTTGCCCGGGCCTTGCCTAGGGCCCACGACTTCGTAACTCCTGTCCTGCACTGGACTCATGTTTTCATTCATTCCAGAAACCTTTTCAGAGAGTCCCTTGGGGAGTGTGGGGGACAGGAGGGAAAGAAACCTGGTCCTTGTAGCCCTTCATCTGCTTCCTGCCCTGGGCAGAGGACACGGGGACTCAGGCCAGCCTGAGATCACTGGGACCAGAGGAGGGACTGGAGGATACTACATGCAGGGGTGGGCTGGGCTGGGTTGGGCTGGGCCAGGAATGCGGTGGGGCAGGGCTATTTAAGTCAAGGGCCGGCTGGCAACCCCAGCAGGCTGTCCTGTGAGCCGCCAGCATGGATGACATCTACAAGGCTGCGGTGAGGGACAGGGCTGGGTAGGGCTGGGGTGGGCAGGCCCACTGGGGGCTCACTCAGCTTAGAATGGGGGGCCAGTAGCCCCAGGGAAGTGGTGGGGACCCAGGAGAAAGCCTACGTGCCTTCAACCCAGGCTGTCACAGGGACAGTGGTTCTGGTGTTTGGGGATGCAGAAGGGATGGGAGTTCAGGGTCTGAAGGGTGGTGGAGGATGTCGCAGCTTTCAGCATCATGTCTCACTCTCTGTTTCCAAGTGTCTGTAGTCTGAGGCACTGTCGCTCAGCCACATGTCTCTGCATTTGTCTCTGGACATTTTTGCCTTTCTCTTTTCATCTCTTCCTCCTGAGCTGTCTGAGTCCCCATTACTGTCTCCCTGTCCCCAACCCCCATTTCTGCCCCTCACATTATGCTTCTCACACGCTCAAAATCTGCTACCCCACTCCAGCCCCTTGACTGGCCGAAGATGCTTTGGGAGGTGGAGGGTGTGAGAGGAGTGGGCTGCAGAGCTTGAGTCCTGGGCTGGAGATGGGGCTTTGAAGTTTGAGGCAGGGAAGTTCTGGACATGAGGGAGAACCAAGGAAGAAGGAACAGAGAACTGGGGCCCCAGCTCCCATCATGCCTGGCAGGCTCAGCACTCAGTGGCTTAGCTAGGGGTGAGGGCGAGGGAACAAGGGCTGGAGAGTGGTCACCCCAAGCCCCTGCAGCCTCCTGGGTCACTGGGGGTCTTCAGATGCTATTCTATCCAGGGGTGGTGGTGACCTCCCCCAACCCCAGAGCAAGGACATCCTGGAATGAACAGCTGTCCCCAGGGGAACCCCTCCCTCAGCCTCCCTCACTCCCGGGCAGGGAAGTGCTACAGCCAGCTCTGGGGGCACGTCTGCTTATCCTGTGGGAGTCCATGGAGCTGGAGTGGGGGCAGCCCTCCACCCAGTGCCCATACAAGGCCTGGCGGAGCTGGGGACTAATTTTGGCTCCTGAGGCGGCACTAGCAGGCCAGGGGGCCAGATAATGCTGCCCCACCCCCTGCATGCCAAAGTCCCCAGAACAATCACCAGGTTTAACTTTGTTCCTCATTAAAAATAGCCCAGTGGCCACCCTGGTCAGGTTACAGTGGGTGGCTCGCCTGCCCCCACACTGGTTTTATTGTCCCAACTTGAGGGACAGCTGTCCCTCGGGCCACCCAGCTTGAGTTTCATCAGGGGCTGAAAGGGCATTGAGTGGTCACTGACTATTGTTACTGAGGGTCACCTTGGCCCTGAAGGGGGTGCCCACCTGTCACCCTGGCCCTGAGCCCAGTCTCAGTGAGGCCAGCTGGGTCACATCAGGGCTTTGGGGGCAGGGAGGGAGGACTGAGACCTCCGCCCTGTGGCCTGGAAATAGCCTGCCTCCTCCGGCTCCAGCCTTCTCACCTGTGGAATGGATTGATTTCCTCAGCAGCAGCTCTACCTGAGTCTGAGCCCTGAGATTCCCTTTCCTTTCTAGGTAGAGCAGCTGACAGAAGAGCAGAAAAATGGTGAGAACCCCTATCACACATGTGGGAGACCAGCGGGGCCAGGCTGGCATGGGGACCCCTTACCAGAAGAGGACCCCAGACCAGAGAGCAGAGGCTTGGTCCCTCTTGCTCTGACCTCAGAGAGGTCTCCGAGGGAGGTGGGCAGGTTGGCAGAGGGCCCCAGGGTTCTGGCCTTCTGAGGTCCTGGCTGCTGAGCCCTGACTACTGTGCCCCCCAACCCCTGAACACAGAGTTCAAGGCAGCCTTTGACATCTTCGTGCTGGGTGCTGAGGATGGCTGCATCAGCACCAAGGAGCTGGGCAAGGTGATGAGGATGCTGGGCCAGAACCCCACCCCTGAGGAGCTGCAGGAGATGATTGACGAGGTGGACGAGGACGGTGAGCCCCCTCCTCCCCAGGCTCCAGAAGAACCCCAGCTGGCTGGGGGCTGGAATGCTGGCTCTGTTTAGCTGGGAGCGGTTTTGCCTATCTGAGCCTCAGTTGCCTCATCTATAAAATGGGCATAATGGCCACAGAAGCCTGGCATTTGGTGTGAGGGTGCGGTGAGAACATGGGGGTTCATGTCGAAGGTGCTGCCTGCAGTACCTACCCTGGCCTCTGTAACGGCCATGCCGCCCACCCCCAGGCAGCGGCACGGTGGACTTTGATGAGTTCCTGGTCATGATGGTTCGGTGCATGAAGGACGACAGCAAAGGGAAATCTGAGGAGGAGCTGTCTGACCTCTTCCGCATGTTTGACAAGTGAGCATGTGACCCTTGACTTCTGACCCTGACCCACACTCAAGCCGAACTGGAGAGGAGGGCGGTCTCAGATTCCAGGCCTAGGGACCCTGCGGCCTCTGCCTGATTGGGGAGAGGGATGCCCCATCTCCCAGTGTCCCTGCTCTGCCTCCTGGGGCATGGGTGGGGCTGCCTTATGCCCTCCCCACAGTCCTACCCTGAGCCCCCTCCCCACAGAAACGCTGATGGCTACATCGACCTGGATGAGCTGAAGATGATGCTGCAGGCTACAGGCGAGACCATCACGGAGGACGACATCGAGGAGCTCATGAAGGACGGAGACAAGAACAACGATGGCCGCATCGACTATGATGGTAAGTGGGTGGGTGGGCTGGTCCCCTGCCTCCATGCCCTGCCCAGCCCCCACCCCCGACCCACACCTGCCCCTCTTTCCACAGAGTTCCTGGAGTTCATGAAGGGTGTGGAGTAGATGCTGACCTTCACCCAGAGCTTCCCATGCCCAGCCTCCAACTCCAGCTGAGTCCTGGGGTTGGGGAGGGGGTTGGGGTCCCAGGACCTGAGCCTGGCCATATCCTCAACCCCAAATCCCCTGACTCCCTCCCCAACTCTGTCCTGGGAGATGCAAATAAAGCGTGCTCCCCGGAGGTCTGCTATCTGCCTCTGGTGTCCCTGGGCCCGGGACTCTTCCTCAGGACTCACTCTTACCCGATGACTGCTTCCTTCCCTGTCGTAGGCAGGCTGGCTGCAGTGCCTGGTGCCTGACCGCCACTCCACACTGCCTTCTGCGGGGAGTGAGATGAGATCGGAGACTGCTGTGTGGCCTGCCCTGCTGGCTGCCCTCTATCACTCCTCATGCCCAGGCACCATCTCCAGGGATTCAGCATCTGGAGTCTGTGGGGGCCTAGAACCCCTACAGGTTCCTGGGGGCCATCACTTTGGTCAACCACTGTGGCAGCCTAGGGGTCCTCTCCTTGGAGAGAGTGATTCACTGCGGTACACAGCTAGGCCCTGAATGCTGCCTGGCAGAGCAACCCCCGTTGCCTCTCAGCCGTGGCTGGAATGGAGCTGAGCCTGTGGGGTCCCTGCAGGCCCACAGTGCTAGTTCACCCGCCCACTCACTTGTATTCCTGCCAGCAACATTGACTCCCAGGGCCAGAGGCGCATGGAGTTGGCTCTACCTCCCCTCACCTGTTTGGCCCAGAGAGGTACAGGGACCTGTTAGGGTCATCCAGTGAGTGTGGGGGAGAGCAGAGCCAGCTGGCTTCCAGCCAAGGGCCCTGTCGGATGGGCCACATCCAAATGGGCGTGACTTCCAGTTCCTGTGAACCTCAGAGGCTCGTCTCCTGTGGCCCAGTCTCTTTCCCTGACAGGGACAGAGACCCAAGGCCTGGCAGCTCTCAGCTTAGTGGGAGCGCCCAGTCCAGAGCTGCTGCCAGACAGTGATGCTGTCTTGGGGGCATGGGCATTGGGGGCTGCAAGGAAGTGGAGGTGTCAGCAGTGGTGTTCGCAGGAGGGACAGCTGCCAGCAGCACCCAGACTCTAGCCAGAATGCCATCAGCTGTCCTTGCCCCGCCCAGCCACTCCACTCTCTGCACCTGTGCCCCAGCCTTGGCATTCCCCAGACAGGCCCGGCATTCCAGAGATGGTCTTGGAATTCTAAAGACGCCTCTGGTGGAGGCCAGAGCTAGCAAGAACTTTCTGGTCCCTGGAGAGACCTGAGGGGAGTGGAGGGGAGTCCCTTTAGGCCTGCCCTTGTGAGCTGGAGAATTGGGGACCTCTACAGACACCCAGAGTGACCCAGGAAGGGTGACAACCAAGGAGAAAAGGAAGGGCCACATTGGGCAGCACCACCAGCCAGTGTACCACTCAGTGGTTCATCACATACCTCCCATGTGCCCAGCACGGGCTGGATGCTGGGGCATGTCACAGTGAGGCCTGGTCCCTAATCTGGTGGATTTTTGTTTCTTTTTTGAGACAGAGTCTTGCTCTGTCACCAGACTGGAGTGCAGTGGCGCAATCTTGGCTCACTGTAACCCCTGCCTCCCGGACTCAAGCGATTCTTGTGCCTCAGCCACCTGAGTAGCTGGGATTACAGGCGCCCGCCACCACACCCGGCTAATTTTTGTATTTTTTAGTAGAGACGAGGTTTCACCATGTTTCCCAGGCTAGTCTTGAACTCCTGAGCTCAAGTGATTCGCCCATCTTGGCCTCTTGAAGTGCTGGGATTACAGGTGTGAGCCACTGTGCCCGGCCAAATCTGGTGGAATTTTAAGGAGATGAGTACAGTGGGAAAACCAGCGCGGGCTGGCGTGGAGACTGGAGGCGTGGTGGGCCCATGAGTTAGAGTGGTCTGGGAAAGCTCCCTGGAGGAGCTGCCTGTGCGTGAGATCTGGGGGAACCACAGGGAACCAGCCATGGGAGGCCATGGAGAAAGACTGGGAAGGTCTCAGGAGCAGAAAGGCAGTGTTGGGCTGGAAACCAAGCCCCAGCAGTCTTGGGAGACGTGGGCAGTGCCAGGCCCCATGAGGACCCAGTCAATGTGAGGGGTGAGGGCTGCAGAGGACAAAAGGGGTGGGAGAGAGGGTCCCAGGAGCTGGCATGAAGTGGGGGCAGGCTCTGGGCAAGAAAGCCCGGTGGCTCCCAGTACAGTGGGGTGCTGGGGAGAGGGGGTCGGGGGTGCATGGATTCAAGGCATATTTTGGAACTAGGATGGACAGAATTTGCTGAAGGCTTGAATGTGAGGGGTGAGAAATAGGAAAATCCAAAATGACCCTTAGCTTTTTGGCCAAACTGCCATTTCCTGAGATAAGGAAGCTGGGGGGAGGCACAGGTTCAGCCGTGGGGTATTGTGAAGTGGAGGTTACTTCCCAATACTAGGTTTTAGTTGGGTTTTTTGTTTTTTTCTTTTCATTTTGAAATTCCAGGCTTGCAAAAAATAGTACAAAGAACTCCCATTTACAGGTCCCCCAGCTTCCCTGTGGTTAACATTTTAACCACAGAAGGATCAAACACAGGAAATGAATATTGACATAAACACTGCTAATTAATCTGCAGAGCTTATTGGAGTTCTGTCAGTTGTCCTAAAGTCCTTGTCCTGGAGCAGGAGCCAATCCAAGATGGCACTAGAGTGACCTCATCCTCCTGTCTCCTTACTCCCCTCCAGTCTGTGACGGTCCTCCGTGTTTCCTCGTCACGTCTGAAGAGCTCAGGCCAGTTATTCTGTAGAATCTCACTCACTTTGGGTTTGTCTGGTGGCCCCAGGGTTTGGGAACTTGCAGGCCCCCAGGCCTCGGCCGCCTGAGCAGGAGGGTTTCCGTGGAGCAGAGGGGTGGGAGCCTGACAGGAGTGAGCTGAAGTACAAGGGAGATGGCGGGTGCGGGCAACACCCAGGGAACAGAGAAAGGGACCCAAGCTGAGGGGCGATGTGGGGTCCAGGGAAGCTTGTTTAAGAAGGGGTAAGGGAATGGCTTGTATGCTGGGGTATCAACCCAGTGAAACAGGAAAAGCGCCATGTGAGATGTAGGCAAGCTCTGCAGCAGGCCAGTGGCTACTGGGCCCCGGACAGTGTCTGCCAGGGCCCGGTTCTAGAGCTGGTCACAGGTGCAAGCTGTACAGGGAGAAAGAGGAGTCTCAAGGCAAGGAGGGGCAGGCAGATGGGCCTCGGCGAGTGAAAGATGTGGCAGTGGGGGTGCTGAGCTGCCGATGGTGATGTCCAGAGGAAGGGATGTTCCAAATGGACAGGCAGAAGGTCATGCCCTTATTGGTAGTGACCTGGAGGGTGGGTAGCTGAGGTAGGGGGAGGGGTCCATGACAATGAGGAAAACAGTGACCCAAGAGATAGGGGGGTACCAGGGATGTGGGATGCCAGTGGGATTGGGGCAAAGAGAGTTAAGCCCTCTGTGAAGGAAACAGGAGAGTGTCTGGGCCAGCTACAGAGAGGGTGCATTCTGGGGGCAGGCTGCTGCCTCAGACAAGGGCCACGTGTGCTCGGGTAGAAGGGAGTGAGGATTGTCAGGAAGGGGCAATGGGGGAAGAAGGGCTCTGCCATGTCCTGGCTCTCTCTTCATCAGCTGTGGCAGGGAGGGGGACAAGTCCTGGACAGGAAGAGAAGATGAATGGCCCCACTTGCAGAGGGAAGTCCCAGAGGAGACTGTTGGAGGGTTGGGGTGGGGAGGGTGGAGCTGTGAGGGATGGCTGATGGGAAACGGGGGGGCTCACCCTCTGCAAGCAGCTGGAGGTCCGTGGGGGTGGAGGGGGCATGACATTGTCCTAATATCCCTGTTCCATCCATGAAATTGGTGGGGAGGGGACTGGGGGCATCCATTCCTTCCAGGCATGCCCACCCTAGAATTCTGGCTGGGAGAGGCTGGGCTGTGACCGTCCACATACCCACCTGGTGGCACCTGCTGCATGAACACGCACCTCACATAAGTATCAGCCCAGCTCACCATCTCCCACCAGTACACGGCATTTTGCATCCTACATGAATCATCTAGTTTTGCCTCTTTTGCTGCATCCTTTCCATTTCTGGACTTTTGCTTGGATAGTGCTTCCTCCATGAAGCCTCCCTTGATTTCCTCCATCAAGAGCAATCACTGGAGCATCTTCCACTGCTCCTGCTTCTTTATATTGTGTTTGCCTGGTTACTGCTAGCGACCTCAAGAGACTGCCGTTTCTCCTGGATGGCCCTGCTACACCAACGCTGCGAGTTTGGGGGCCTCCTGCAGTTCCTTCTTTGTCCACTAGATGGCACAAGATACCTGTGTCTGGGCCCATTGATCCGCGAATTCAGGGCACCCTTGGGGTCTTTCCCACCTGCCGCTGGCAAGCAGGGGGGCCTTTAGAGAGGATCCCTACCCCCTGCCCCCTAGCCTGGAAAACTGAAGCCCGGAGAGGGAGAGGACCTGACTGAGGCCACACACGTTAACAGTAGAGTTCAGACTCCCAGCCTGCCGCAGGCTGTTTCCGCAGTGTGGAGTAGGCTGCCTGCATACCCTGCTCTGGTCGACCCAGGCCTCCCTGCAGCCCCTGCTGGGCGTCTGGCTGAGCTGAGACCCCAGGGTGGGCTGGCAGGCTGAGGAGTGTTGGGCCACCTGCCCGCCGCTGTTGGTCACATGCTGGCTGAAGGGCTGCCTGGTTCAGTCTCCAGTTAGAAGTTGGCCCTAACTTGGGCAGTGTGCTGGCCACACCTCCCCAGGGAAACTGAGGCAGAAGCACTCCACCCCAGGGTCCCAGGATATGGTCACCCTGACAGCAGTCCCTGCGCAAGCCCACTCGGCAGGTTATAAAGGCTGCTTACACCCAGGATGGCTGATCCCCGGCCCTGGGAGGAGGAGGTCCCTCCCCATCTGGGAGGAGAATGACCCCCCACCCCTAACCAGGGGAGCTGGAGAGTCTGGCCAAGGTTTCAGGGTACTGGAACATCCTGGAATTGAGGCAGGGCCAGTTTGGAAGGTCTCTGCTGTGGGCAGTGGAGGGGCAGAGAACAGCCCAGAGACAGAAAGGTCTTGGCCAAGGCGTTCTAGCAGGGCCAGAGGCAGGGCTGGGCTGAGCTCCATCACTGGTCTCTCTGGGCAGCCCCTTGCCCACCTTCAGGCCAGCCCCCTGCTGAAGGAGGCATGTGTGAGTGAAGGGAGATGGAGACAGGGAGGTAGAGTTGTAGGTCTCTAGGACCTGTCATGCTGACCCAAGAAGCCAGCCTGTTTCCATTTCAGGATTGAGGTAGGGGAGGAGGGTGGGGTCCCCATATTCCCAAGAAGGCCCAGAGCAAAGGAGGGTCCCAGGAAGGGGCAGGGCTGAGCTGGACCCATCTCAGCCTGCTCTGTGGCCTAGGCCAGGTCCTTTCCTCCTCTCTGAGTCCCCCACAACTTACCAGAGGGTCCAGGCCAGTCCATGTGGGAGGCCCAAGCTGCAGGAGTTGTTAGAATCCTGGGAACTCAAACTCCAGCTCAAAATTAAAGTCTCTTTAGTGCCCAGGGCCTCAGGTTCTGAGTGTAGGGTTCTGGGGTGGGGTGAGGTGGGAACTGTTCTGGAGCAGGGAGCATGGGGAGGTCCTGTCACTCACCCCAGATTCAGGTTCTCAGTACCATTTCCCCTTTGGCCCTCTTCTGTGGCTTTCTGTGCGCTCCTCCCCGCCCCCCCACAGCCACCGCTGCTTCCCAGTCAGCATTCAGGGCAGGGGGAGTGAGCTCTGAGAGAGCACAGGTGTCTGCAGGGCCTTTGGGGTATAGGGTCCCTGGGAAGAACCATCACTGACCTGGTGAAGCTCTGGACCCTGAGTCTCTGGAAGTACTGGAGGCCTGAGGGAGGCAGGGCAAGGGGAGGTTCCCTCAGCATGGGGTCCCCTAATGCCCTTGTCCCCTACCCCAAAGCAAGCCTGGTGAGCTGCGATGGGGCCTGTAGATGTGGTGAGAGGCTGGGGTGGCCGGAAGCCAGATGGGGACAGGCCTGGGTGGAAGAGGCTGGGCAGTCATCTCTTGCTGGCTCTATGAAGTGTTGCCAGACCTCAAACACCAGCCTAGGACATGGTGCCCCCTCTGGCCGAGGCTTCAGGGGGCTGGAACATCCTGGAATTGGGGCAGGGCCAGTTTGGAAGGTCTCTGCTGTGGGCAGCGGAGGGGCAGAGAACAAGGCAGAGCCCAGCTCGGCCTCTACCCAGCCCATCAACCTCGACCTCTGATCCCTGACCTCCCTTCCAGGCTCTCTCCCCACTTGTCACTTTGCTGGAGCCTGAGGACCTGTATTTGTGGACATCTCTGTACACATGGCCCGTGCCCCAGCTGGGAAGGTCTTCCCAATGGAGAGCTAGCTGGCCAGTGTGACACAAAGGCCTGCACTGGGCCAACAAAGTGGAAGGAGAAGTGGCAGGTGGACGGCAAGGCCCCGCCTCCTTCTCTCCCCCGTCCCTCTTCCCGCCCAGGACTGGGTGGAGCCACTGCCTTATAAGTGGTGGCCTGGTGGCAGCAGAGCAAACTACAGCCGGCGGCCAGCAGGACCAGAGGGCGGCTCTGCAGGCAGGCGGCAGCGGTGCCCTCAGCTCCCCAGCATGGCCCCCTCGGCCTGGGCCATCTGCTGGCTGCTAGGGGGCCTCCTGCTCCATGGGGGTAGCTCCAGCCCCAGCCCTGGCCCCAGTGTGCCCCGCCTGCGGCTCTCCTACCGAGGTACCAGCCCCTGCATGCCCTGTTTGTGTGCATGTGCTCTGTTTGTGTGCATGTGCCCTGTTTGGGTGCCTTGGGCTCTTGGGTGCCTGGCCAGCTGTAGGGGAGTGGGAGGGAGGCAGGTCCTGGGGGACAGGACCAGGGTGGTGGGGAGGGACCTGAGGGGGACTGCTGAGAAAGGGACAGATGGAAACCCCGAGAGAACTCAATAAAGATGGGGAGGGGACAGAGGAAGGGACCAGGCAGGGGAGAGGGACAGAAAGGATGGGGCTGAAGGGTCTGTCTGGGCTCAGCTGGCACTTTTTGCCCAGGGTGGCCAATGGGAGAGTGGGCAGCACTCTATCCCTTGGTCCTGGGGCCACAGAGAAGGGGAGGAACCCCTTGCAGCCCACTTCCCGGAGTGGGTTTCTTCATGTGCTCCTCCATCCAAGAAGTGCCTCAGCCCAGGGGGAGTCTCACCTCCCCTCTTTGCCCATCCCAGCCTGGGGGTTCCTGTGTTCTACCCTAGACATGTGAGCCGGCTCAGGCCTCCACGGACGGGCCCGGGGAAGGCCCCTGAGACAGGCTCTTTGGAGATCCTTCCTAAGGAAACCAGAGGGGTGACCACCTTCCCCTGGGAAGCCCAGTCTGGTGGGGGAGACACCACTCCCTCCTGGAGAGGCTGAGGGGAATGTGGTCTTATTCTGGGACCTGTGGTTTTGGCGGGAGGTCAGACTACTAGAAAAAGCCCCAAATAGGGAAAGTTCCCCAAGGTACTGTCATCCATGGAGGGCTTCCCGGAAGAGACTGTTGATGAGTTTTGGGGGTGGAATGGGTGTTGGGTGGAGATGCTTCTGTAGGGAAGGCATAGGACACTCTGGGCCTTCCCAAAGGTGGTCAGTGCCCCCTTCCTACCACATCCTACTGCCCCCATTACTTCCCCCTCCCCAGCCAAGCCTGAGGACCTACCTCAGGATCCTCAACTCCTGGGACCAACGTCCCCAGACAGCTCCCGGCTCTCATCTCTGGGGCCAGGATGGCCAACATCTATGGGGAGAAAATTCTCTTCGGCCACAGACCTGGACTGGAGGTGGGAGCCCTTCCTGGCCACACCTGCCCTCTCCTGCACCCAGGCGGTTGCCAGGGGTCCCCACTTTCGCCTGCTGGCCCACCCTCCAGCTGAATCAGGCAGCCTGCAAAGACTCCCGCCCTTCCTCCAGGATCTTCCAGCACTTTGCTCTAGTTTCTGCTGGTTGGGGCCATCCTCCCTGGGGACTGGGTAGGGCACAGATGGGACAGTGGGAAGATAGCTGCACGATGAAGGGCTAAGGAATGGAGGGGTAGGAGGTAGGTCCCAGGGTAGGCTGGGCCGGGTGGGAGGCTCTGAGCCTCCTGTCCCACCTGTCCCCAGGAGCCGTGGTCCAAAAACCTTCCAGCACCACGTGGATGGAAACATTTTCCAGATGTGAGTGTGTTGGGGGTGGATGCTCAGCCGGAGCCTCCACCTCCACTCCTTGGCTGGGGAACTAGGCTGAGCCATGGCCCTGATCTGCCTCCCTGTACTCCCTCCTAGACCTCCTGTCTGCCAACCGCTCTGCCATCTTTCTGGGCCCCCGGGGCTCCCTGAACCTCCAGGCCATGTACCTAGATGAGTACCGGGACCGCCTCTTTCTGGGTGGCCTGGACGCCCTCTACTCTCTGCGACTGGACCAGGCGTGGCCAGATCCCCGGGAGGTGAGCTGGACTGGCAGGGCAGGGGGTCTGTTTGAGAGCTGGGCACCTCCAGATGGGAGGCCACATGGGGAAACTGAGCCTGTGAGATCAGGGGAGGACCTGAGGTCAGCCAGGCTGTGTTTCAGGTCCTGTGGCCGCCGCAGCCAGGACAGAGGGAGGAGTGTGTTCAAAAGGGAAGAGATCCTTTGGTGAGTGCTGTCGGGAGGGATGGCCCCTCAACCGGACACCCTGCCCTGACCTTCAGGATAGTCTGTGGCCACGCCCCAGGTGCCTCTACCAGGGGCATTTGGAGCAGATCCTGAGGGCTTTTGAAGGTCTGCTGGGAATGTCACACCCACCCCTTCCCCAGAGCTGACTGCCAGACAGGGCTGAGCCTTGGGCCCCAAGGAGATGGCGAGCACCCCCTCTCACCCCTCAGCCACCCACTCCTTCTCCCCGCAGACAGAGTGTGCCAACTTCGTGCGGGTGCTGCAGCCTCACAACCGGACCCACCTGCTAGCCTGTGGCACTGGGGCCTTCCAGCCCACCTGCGCCCTCATCACAGTGGGCCACCGTGGGGAGGTGAGCCTGGGCCAGGCCCCACAAGGGACTGGGAGGCAGTGACATTTCCTCCCTGCTGCCTGAACGTTCCCATTGAGCCTGGGTAGGGACAGAAGGGCAGGGGCCTGAAAGGCGCCTTTGTGTCGGGGAGCTGACCCCATTAGAGGGGCCCTGGATGAGGATGCCTTCCGCCCGCCCCCACTCTCTAGCTGCACGCAAGGGCTCCTGCTTGGGTGTGGGCTGCTGGCGCGTGTCTCCCAGGTGACGCCCCTCCCTCCCTCTCTCCCTCCCCTTAGCATGTGCTCCACCTGGAGCCCGGCAGTGTGGAAAGCGGCCGGGGGCGGTGCCCTCACGAACCCAGCCGTCCCTTTGCCAGCACCTTCGTAGGTGAGTGATGCCCAGGCCAGGGTGGGAACAGGGAGGGTGGCAGCTGGCCTATGTCACTGAGAAGGGAGGGACCCGGCTGCTGGGCCTAGGCCTCCTCCCCTGACTCTGTTCCCCAACCCCCACCCCAGGCGGGGAGCTGTACACGGGTCTCACCGCTGACTTCCTGGGGCGAGAGGCCATGATCTTCCGAAGCGGAGGTCCTCGGCCAGCTCTGCGTTCTGACTCTGACCAGAGCCTCTTGCACGGTGAGGCCTGCCCCTGGGACTGGCACGGGGGAAGAGGCTACTTTCCCGGCTAGGACACCAGCCTCCAGTGGGAGCCGCCTGCCCCATTCCTCTCCCCACTGGGTTCTGCTCCCATCCTGCTCTGTGGGGCCCCTCCACCCAGCATGACCCTGTCGCCCTTCCAGACCCCCGGTTTGTGATGGCCGCCCGGATCCCTGAGAACTCTGACCAGGACAATGACAAGGTGTACTTCTTCTTCTCGGAAACTGTCCCCTCGCCCGATGGTGGCTCGAACTATGTCACTGTCAGCCGCGTGGGCCGCGTCTGCGTGGTGAGAGCTGGGAAGGGGTGGTGAGGTTCAAGTCCCCGCTGCACCCTCCCATTCCCAGACCTTTCTCCCCCAACCCCTGGCCAGCAGTAGGGAAACTGAGGCAAGGATGCAAAACTGACATGCATACCTCTCCCCGAGTGGGCGAGGGTATTAGAGCGGATGGTGGGACCCATCCTCGTGGGGCCCAAGGCTGACTCTGGCCCCTTATCCTGCAGAATGATGCTGGGGGCCAGCGGGTGCTGGTGAACAAATGGAGCACTTTCCTCAAGGCCAGGCTGGTCTGCTCAGTGCCCGGCCCTGGTGGTGCCGAGACCCACTTTGACCAGCTAGGTGAGGGCCTGGCCAAGCAGGTCTAGGGCTCGGGACTAGGGAGGGCTGAGAGCTGGTGAGTCAGGGCATTGGCGGTGGCCATGACACTCATGCTCCCTTCTCTACCCCAGAGGACGTGTTCCTGCTATGGCCCAAGGCCGGGAAAAGCCTTGAGGTGTATGCGCTGTTCAGCACTGTCAGGTGGGCACACCCAGCTTCCCTGCACCCAGCACCTTGGCCTTGCGATGGGCCCCGTCTTTGTGACCTATGACTGTACTCTCTGAGTCTCTCTTTGCCTTTGCCTTGGGGTCTTTGCTTTTTGGAGTCTCTGCTTGCACAGGCACTATTATCCTGTGTCCTGCCCATGGAACCAGGCTGTCCCCTTCTTGTCCTTGATGGCCACTCTGGCCTGACTGTCCTGTGTGCCCTGGCAGTGCCGTGTTCCAGGGCTTCGCCGTCTGTGTGTACCACATGGCAGACATCTGGGAGGTCTTCAACGGGCCCTTTGCCCACCGAGATGGGCCTCAGCACCAGTGGGGGCCCTATGTGGGCAAGGTGCCCTTCCCCCGCCCTGGCGTGGTGAGTATCTCCTGGGGCAAGGCCAGGGAATCGAGTTCTGAGCAGATGTGGGGAAGGGCTCCTTGGAGTGGCCCCATGTCCCCATGCACCCCCATGGCAGCGGACGTTGGCTGAGCCTGGGCTCCAGAGGGCCTGGGTGGGGTGGGGTGGGGTGGGGTGGGGTGGGGTGGGTGTGGTGGGAGAGGAGAGCCCTCCTGCAGTGAGAGAGGTTGCCCTGGTTGGGGTGGAAACAGACTGGTGGTGGGGGTGTGTGTGCTGTCTCAGGATACCTCAGGCCCTCCCTTCCCTGCTGCCCACAGTGCCCCAGCAAGATGACTGCGCAGCCAGGGCGGCCTTTTGGCAGCACCAAGGACTACCCAGATGAGGTGCTGCAGTTTGCCCGAGCCCACCCCCTCATGTTCTGGCCTGTGCGGCCTCGGCATGGCCGCCCTGTCCTTGTTAAGACCCACCTGGCCCAGCAGCTACACCAGATCGTGGTGGACCGCGTGGAGGCAGAGGATGGGACCTACGATGTCATCTTCCTGGGGACTGGTAGGACAGCTGAGCAAGAGTGGCCAGGCTGGAGAGGGGTGTGGGGTCCCTGGCTGTCCCCTCCTGTCCCACTGACCCCTCTTCCCTGGCTCCAGACTCAGGCTCCGTGCTCAAAGTCATGGCCCTCCAGGCAGGGGGCTCAGCTGAACCCGAGGAAGTGGTTCTGGAGGAGCTCCAGGTGTTTAAGGTAAGCAAGGGGCTGATGGAAGGGTCCCTCCAAGCCCCATCTTTGGGTCTGAGCCTAGCTGCAGGGATGCAGGAGCAAGCCCAGTAGGGAGCCAGCCTGTCTTTACTGAATTTGCAGCTGGCAGGATGCTGGGGAGAGGGTACAGAAAGAGATGCCCCCGCCACCTCCGCTGTGACAGAGGCCTTGCAGCCACTTATGAATGACTGGAGGCCCAGAGCTACAGCCTGTGAGCTGAAAGTGCCTGGGGTGCTGGGAGGGATGGTCAAGGGGAGCAACCCTTTGCAAAACCCTGTTGGGCTCACGTTGCAGGGAGGAGATGGTTGAGACCCCAAGGCCCCTAGATGTTCTCTTGGCCCCTCTAGAGACTCAGGAAGGGGATAGTCTGTGTTTGGAGGCCTGTTGTACCTCCTGGACCTGAGCTGGGTAATTTAGGACAGCTGCCTCATTGCTGGGGAACAAGTGGAGAGAGGGGACACTCTAGCTCTGTGCTTTCAGCCAAGCCTCCTGCTTGGAGGCCAGCCATGACCAGGGGGCCTTTCTTGTAACCCATTGTCTGGGAAAGACTGTCTAGCCTTAGCTGCCAAGGAGTGCAAGACCCAGCCTGGGAGCTAGGTGGTTCCCACCCCAGGGTTGGAGGAGACCGAAAGCAGGGGGGCAGTGACAGGTCCTGGTCCACCCCACCCACGCTGAGACCCTTCTCCTTCCCCAGGTGCCAACACCTATCACTGAAATGGAGATCTCTGTCAAAAGGGTAAGAGCAGCTGCCACCCTCCTCTTGGACCCCTCTTCTGCCCCTGCTCCACAGCCTCCTCCTCTGCCCCTGCTCCACAGCCTCCTCCTCTGCCCCCGCTCCACAGCCGCCTCCTCTGCCCCTGCTCCACAGCCTCCTCCTCTGCCCCCGCTCCACAGCCTCCTCCTCTGCCCCTGCTCCACAGCCTCCTCCTCTGCCCCCGCTCCACAGCCTCCTCCTCTGCCCCTGCTCCACAGCCTCCTCCTCTGCCCCTGCTCCGCAGCCTCCTCCTCTGCTCCGCAGCCTCCTCCTCTGCCCCCGCTCCACAGCCTCCTCCTCTGCCCCAGCTCCACAGCCTCCTCCTCTGCCCCCGCTCCACAGCCGCCTCCTCTGCCCCTGCTCCGCAGCCTCCTCAAGCTCCACTGTAGTCTGGGGAAAGCTGTGCTGAGGCAGGCCTGATTAGCCCCTGCAACAAGTGGCCAGTGGGCATTGGAAGCACCGAGTAAGTGGGGCCGCGTCCAGATAAGGGGATAGCCACAAAGCCCAGTTCCTAAGGGAGGCAAAAGTGTGCCTGAAAACAAAATCCAGATGTTAAGTCCAACAAGGCCACTTTTTAGAGGCCTACTATATTTGCCAAGTGGCAAAACCCATCTCCCCGTGTTTATCTGCTTCAGTGTATCTTTGTGCAAATCCTAACTTTTGTGCAAGGATTGCTTAAAGCAAGGTGCACCTCTAAAGTCAGGGACAAGTCAGGATAAAGGCCCCTGGGATAGAGGGCAAAGGTCAGCAGCTGGGAGGGCCTGGAGAAGTCCCTTAGAGAAAACATCCCAGGTCTTGGTTCTCCTCCATCCCTTCTGTGTCCTGGCACAGAATCTGGTATGCAGCAGGTGGGTGATAAACACTTTTTATTTTTTGAATGAATCCAAGAGGTTCTGGAAGACTTCCTGCAAGTGGCAGGGGTCTCAGGAAGCCAAGGGGCTGAGAGCCTGGCTGCGTGTGGGTGAACCCCGGGCTCACCTCAGGCTCTACTTCCGTCCCTTCTCAGCAAATACTGTATGTGGGCTCTCGGCTGGGTGTGGCCCAGCTGCGGCTGCACCAGTGTGAGACTTACGGCACTGCCTGTGCAGAGTGCTGCCTAGCCCGGGACCCATACTGTGCCTGGGACGGTGCCTCCTGTACCCGCTACCGCCCCAGCCTCGGCAAGCGCCGGTTCCGCCGGCAGGACATCCGGCATGGCAACCCTGTCCTGCAGTGCCCGGGCCAGAGCCAGGAAGGTGAGTGGTGGCAGGTGGGAGGGCCCAGGCTGGGCTGGAACTCACCCCGGTGGCTCGGCTCCACCCCTGCAAAGTGTGTTCTCAGAATGGTCTTATGACGGATAGTCCTGTTTCCCTCTCTGTGTAGCTCCTGCTAGTGCATGGAAGCAGAGCCTTTGGACACAGTGGCTGGCTTAGGGATCCATGGATACCTAAGTTCTTGTCATACTAGTGGGGCTTCTGAGCTGTGGTGTCAGGTGGTGGCACTGGGATCTGGGTCCCATAGTTCCCAACCTGAGCCAACCTCTGCCTCTCTCCAGAGGAGGCAGTGGGACTTGTGGCGGCTACCACGGTCTACGGCACGGAGCACAACAGCACCTTCCTGGAGTGCCTGCCCAAGTCTCCCCAGGCTGCTGTCCGCTGGCTCTTGCAGAGGCCAGGGGATGAGGGGCCTGACCAGGTGAGTGAGAAGACCCCTGCCTCCAGCCTCCATGTCCTGAGGTCACTTCCCATCCTGAACCCCAAGACCTGAGCCCTAGAAAGGGGTTCTGGAGAGCACCTGCCAAGATCAACCTGAGAAAAGTGTGTATTAGGCTCCTGAGGTGCCTAGATGGACGTGCCCTATGTCTGCCTTCTGGGAATGCCCAGGCCAGATGTGGCTGGCACTCCCCCAGTCTGGCGGGTGGGTGGTGGAAGAGAGGGAAGAGGGTCTGGGCTGGCCAGTAAGTCTTCCATATTTACACACATGGCTCATCTTTGAAGGTTTCTCTTCTCCAGGGGTTCTTGGTTCTCTTCTGCCCCAGGCAGGGGAGGGGGCTGTGCCCTGGGCCCAGGACTAGGCTTCAGAACCTCCCTATGCTACACACACACACAACAGAAGAGAACCTTCTGGGTCCTTAACCACTGGTCCTTGCCCTCCACCTTCAAAGCCTGGCCCCACACTTCCTCCCTGGAGTCCAGCTGTCTGCTCAGGCCCTCTCCTCCCCCATCCGGAAAGGTCTGTCAACCCCAGGGATGGTTTAAGTCTGGGGCCTGAGGATGGGCATTGGCTGGGGCAGAGAAGGGGAGTGGCAGGAGTGGATTGATTACAGGAGGGGCTCTCCCTCCAGCCTGGGAACTGGGGGAGGCCAGCCTTGGGCCAGCTGTTGGGCTGGGCGCTGAGAAGATTCCCCAGGGGAGGAGGGGAGCAGCAAGATGGTGTTTCACAACACTAGCTAACGGCCCAAGCAATCCACCCTCAACACACAGATGTGCAGACTAAAGCCCACATGGGGTCCAGGCCAGAGGCCAGCTGGGATCAGAACGGCACTCCCGCTTCCCACGCTGTGATGGGCGCTCAGCCCACCCTGGGCTGGGGCTGTTAGCTCGCACCGTCGGGGGAGTGAACAGTTCAGACCAGGATGGGAAGGCTGCGTGTGTGTGTGTCTGTGTGTGTGTGTGTGTGTGCGCGTGCACGCGCGCGTGCATGTGCATGTGTGCAGTATAGGGAGGTTCTGAAGCCTAGTCCTGGGCCCAGGGGCACAGCCCCTCCCTTGAGAAAAGCCTGTAGATGGGATGGTACCTCCAGAAGGGCTAAGGGGATAACATCTTAGCCCCTCTGTTCCTTGGGAATGTGTGCCAGGGCCCTCCGAGGCCAAGATTGGTGTCCTCTGACTAAGAGAGAAACTAGCCAGTAAAATCCTTGAGGAGGCCCCTTCCTGGGCTATGGGAAGGTGAGGCCCCACCTGAATTAGCTCGTGGTCTAGAGGAGGCCCACATTGCCAAGCTGCTGGTCCTCTCCTGGGAAGGGGAGAACAGGGCAAGAAGTGGCCAGGCACTGGGCCCCAAGGATGGCAGAAAAGCTGGGGCAGAGAAGCTGATGGTACACTCCCACCTCGCACCACACTCACGCCCTCCCACCCACCTGGCAGGTGAAGACAGACGAGCGAGTCTTGCACACGGAGCGAGGGCTGCTGTTCCGCAGGCTCAGCCGTTTTGATGCGGGCACATATACCTGCACCACTCTGGAGCATGGCTTCTCCCAGACTGTGGTCCGCCTGGCTCTGGTGGTGATTGTGGCCTCACAGCTGGACAACGTGTTCCCTCCGGAGCCAAAGCCAGAGGAGCCCCCAGCCCGGGGAGGCCTGGCTTCCGCCCGACCCAAGGCCTGGTACAAGGACATCCTGCAGCTCATCGGCTTTGCCAACCTGCCCCGGGTAGATGAGTACTGTGAGCGCGTGTGGTGCGGGGGCACCATGGAATGCTCCGGCTCCGGAGGGAGCCGGAGCCGGGGCAAGCAGGCCAAGGGCAAGAGCTGGGCAGGGCTGGAGCTAGGCAAGAAGATGAAGAGCCGGGTGCATGCTGAGCACAATCGGACACCCCGCGAGGTGGAGGCCACGTAGAAGCGGGCAGAGGAGGGGTGGTCAGAATGGGCTGGGGGAGCCCACTAGCAGCCCCCAGCATCTCCCACCCACTGGCTAGGGCAGAGGGGGTCAGGACGTCTGTTTGCCTCTTAGAGACAGGTGTCTCTGCCCCCACACTGCTACTGGGCCACCTACAGAAAAGACTGGGGTCTGATGGAGGGGCCGGCTGCTTGAGGCCTGTTCCCTGCCCCTCTCTGTGCTCTCAGACCCAGCTGGAGCCAGCACCCTCTGGCCGCTGGCAGCCCCGAGGGATCTGCCATTTGTTCTCAGAGATGGCCTGGCTTCCGGAGCACATTTCCGGGTGTGCCCAGAGGCAAGAGGGTTGGGTGGTTCTTTCCCAGCCTACAGAACAATGGCCATTCTGAGTGACCCTCCGAGTGGGTGTGTGGGTGGGTCTAGGGGGTGTCCCGGTAGCGGGCTCTCAGGGAGCCAGAGGAGGGAGGAAATGGCCTCTAAGCTAGCACCCCGCAAGAAGAGCCTACCTGACCGACTTGGGGAGGGAACATGGAGGTGTTAGGAAGGTGGAGCAACAATGCACCTCCCCTCCTGTCGTGCCCTGATATCTTGATGGCTCTCTGCCACTGCCCACCGCCTCTTCTCCATCTGAGAATCAGAGAGAGGCATAGATAATCTAGAGGCATGGACTGCTAGAGTCCCCAGGGATCTGGGTTGGTCAGGGCTCAGGCTTCACTTTGTAAACCAGGTGGGGGCATCTCACAGCCTGACTTCCTTTCCCCAGGCCAGGGTTGCTGGGATACCTGCCCCTCCTGAGAGGACCCCCTCCCCACTGTCAGGCTCTCCATTCCCATGAGCGGGGAGGGGTGGGTTTTGGGGGATTGTTGTCCCTTGTGTCTGTGGACTAGATAGGGCAGGGGAGCTGGGGAAGGGTGCAGGCGGGAAGAGTGGGCTGTCTTTCCCAGGGTGATGCAAGCATGCCGCAGCCCTGGAGGCTGGGAATGTGGAGGCTCTGTGAGCCCTCCAGTCCTCAGAATCAGGGCCAGGGATGCAGAAGATTGAGAGGATATGGAGATGGACAGAGGGCAGGAGACCCTTAGGATAGACTGTAGGACCCAAGCAGGAACAGGTGTCCACAAGGACTCAGGATGGCATCAGTTAGCTCAGAAGCCACCTGTAAGACCCCGTGTTTCCATCTCTGGAATCTCTGTTTTATGCTAAATGGATTTAGGAAGACTGTTTTTCTTTTAAGGGGGAAACAAGGTAGAGAAAAAAACGAAGTGTAAGTCCTGCTGATTCTTGGGGGGAAAGATCGGACGGCAAGGACGCATTCTGCTGGGGCATGTAGCGGAGGTGTTTTTGCCATCAGCAGTTTCTCAGGCTGGGGAGCACAGAGCGGAGGAGGAGGACTAAATGAAAAGTTGTTCCCAGCCTGCACATGAACACGTTCATGATGCACAAAACTGACTGGAAAGAGATAAGACCACCGGGTTTGAGATTCCCTCCATTAAAACAACCAAGACAAAGAAAGGAGGGGAAAAAAAGATAAAAAGCAAGACAGGGTTCCCTGCCCCACTGAAACTCAAACCCAGACTGCCTACCCCTGGCACCTCCAGAGAACTGGGACCTGAAATACCTGCTCCTTTCTCCCCTTTGACCATGTAGTAAATGAACCAGAAGCAGAGATTAACCTATCAACGCCCTGAGAAGCCTTCCAGCCTGCAGTGCTGTCTGCTGGGAGGTCAGCTGGTCAAAGCAGAGGAGGAGAGGAGGAAAGGATAGGGGCTGAAGAGCAGAAGGGAGGGGAGACAGAGGGGATTAAAGAGGGGAGGAGAGAGTGTGGAGCTCCAAGAAAGGGTGTCAGAGCTGCAGCCAGCTCTGCCCTCTACCCTAGGGAGGCCAGAAAGAAACAAACAGCCCTCTGGGCCTTTAGGCTAGACTCTGGCTTGGCAGGCTCCAGGCAGGGTCCTCTGGGAAGTTACTCTAGAAAATGAAGGGAGGAGGAGCACAAGGTCCTCAGCAACGAACACCTGCACTTGGAAAAAGTGGACAGCTTCTGCCAACCGCACCCCACCCATGGTACTGTATGCTACTAACTCCTGGAAACGCCCTGTATGTGCGAGTTCTATTTTTGTATTTGTATGTTGAGATGGGCTTTGTGGTTTCTCTGTTCTCAGAGCATATTTCTTGTAATTACTATTGTTATTTTTATTGTCATGACTGCCCCTGAGCTCTGGTGAGAAAAGCCAAATTTATAAGGAAAGGGATGAAGTTAATATTTGCATCATGTAATTATATCATTACTGTGTATCTGTGTATTGTACTAAATGGACTGATGCCAGCACATGAGCTGAAAATGAAGAGCCCTCCCATCCATTGCATGAGAAAGAAGGTCACCCTGAGTGACCTCTGTTTCATGATTTCCCAAACAGGTTTTAGAGCTGGAAAAGGACTTAAAGAAAGAGACTGGGTGGTGCTTTCTAGAAAGGAGGAAGATGGGTATCAGGGGAAGGAAGGAGTTAGAGGGCTTTGTCTATGAAGCCGAGATTGCTCATTAAATGAGGAACATCCTGGCCTGTGGGCTTGTAAGACTGACCTTCTTGGGACTTCAGGAGGATCTTGAACCAAAAGAGAAAAAAAAACATTGGCAAAGGGCAGCTGGGCACGTAGGCAGCTCTGCTCCTTTTTCATAATAACACTTGACATTTGTCACAGTGACACTTGGCATGGTTCCTGCCTTCATCCCAAGCCACATACCAACAGATATTAAGTCCTCATGGCTGGGGGACTGGGGCTGTGCTGTGGGGGCTGTGGCTTCTGGAAAGGAGGGGAGGCCCCGAACATCTGACCTATTGGGCACACTGCAGGAGGTCCGTCTGGGCATGGCTCCCACTCCCCAGTGACAACAACACCCCAGCCCAAAGAGCAGACTCCACTGCTGCTGGAGGAAGATTGAAGGGTCATAACCCTACCTTCCCAGGGAGACTTCCCTGGGCCTCTTGCTTGAGCAGGCCCCTCAATCCATGCTGTAGACTAGGGGTCTTAACAGGTCAGTCATAAGTCTCATCTTGCAGCCCGGGCCCTGGAGCTGGCCTTTCCTTTTGTTCCTTGCGCCCTCCATGATCACTTAGGCCTGACAGAGCCTGAAACCCTGTCACCCCACCCTAGGAAGCATCACCACCTCTGACTGAGAAGTGTCACCAAGGCACCCACCTGGCACAGTGTGCTGGGCTGGGAGGGGTGTGTGAAGGCGGGCTCCAGAGCCCCCTTCTTCCCTCATGCACCACTCTCCCCAGGGTGGCCTGGAAGAACCCTCTGGACCAGACCCCTCCCTGGTCCACACCACCTCCCCCTCCCATCTCGAGCCCTATTTCCTGCCTCAGTGATTTCAGCCTCTCTCTAGTCTTGTCAAAGCTCTTTCCTCCGCGTCTAAAGCTTCCTCTATTCTTGGGGACTCTGTTCCATGACTTCCCAAACAGGTTTAGAGCTGGAAAGGTGCTTAGAGAATGAGACTAGCCCAGTGGTTCCAAGAGATAACTATAATCCCATGGGACCCTCCACGATCTCGTGGTCCCCATGTTCTGCCCCTTTGGCCCTGACAGAGCTGAAATGCTGCCTGCTGGCTTGCCCTGTGAAGGCCCTGAGAAGTCCTGTGATGATCTCTTGCTAATGTGCATGCCTACTATGTGCTATGTGCTTTTCCAAAACATTTGGTTCTCTCTTTTTTCCCATGGAGCAGCTAACATCTCATGTTTCTAACATTTTGAAGAACATATTTTGGAAAAATGTTGATTAGGTTAATTCCCTCCCTTAACATGTGAGCTTGATTAATTAGTAATTGCCTTCCCAGCCTGTAGGCTCTGGAAGCCCCAGCCTTCTGCTGAAATAGCCACATCTTGGTTTCCTATGACCCTTGCCGGAGTAGACTCTGCTACCCCAGGACAGGGCTGCCAAGTGGCCAATCTGCTGCCCTTTGGGCCTGGACTGTGCTCTGTTCCTGGCTCTCGTCCTCCCATACCCAGCCTACTTCTGGCTCCTCCTGTGTCTGGCTTGGTCCTCTGTGGAGGGCTAGCATTCACCCCTAGTCTGTGGCTGTCCTGCCATCCAACAGAATCGTTTCTAAGAAGGTGGGGGGCAGGGAGGAGTCAGAATAAGAAGAAAACAGCAGTTTCCACTTTCTCAAGTGACTCCTGGGCTTTTCTTTCATTGGCTAAGCTTGGGGTCAGGCCCTAGACAGCCCTCGAATCCCTTGCTTGGAAGAGTGGTCAGGTAGCAGCCCCCAGGAACCTGGTGTACCTCCCGCCAGCCTGTCCTCTTCATGGGCTGGCAGGGGGTCCAGCTGCAGCTCCAGCCAGGTGGGCCCCAGAAGACTGGCTCACATGCCTCTGGAAATCCAGCAAACAGAGGCGCCCCTGGCCAACCGCATCTTAGAGCTAGGAGGTAGTTGCTCAGAAATAGCCCAGTTTCCATCCCAGTTAAGGTCCCATCCCAGCCTCACGTAAGTCTTGGATTGCAGTGGGTTCTACAAGAAGAAAGTTCAACATACACCAAGAAGAAATTCCCAGGGTCTTCTAAGACTTTAAACTTGGAGAGAGGGACAGTGGGTAGGGCTAGGTTTGGACACAATATCTGAAAAGGTTGCCAGGCATGATGGCTCACACCTGCAATCCCAGCACTTTCGGAGGCTGAGGCGAGTGGATCACCTGAGGTCAGAAGTTCGAGACCAGCCTGGCCAACATGGTGAAACCCCTTCTCTACTACAAATACAAAAATTAGCTGGTGGCACACACCTGTAATCCCAGCTACTCAGGAGAATGAGGCACGAGAATAATTTGTACCCGGGAGGTAGAGGTTGCAGTGAGCCAAGATCGTGCCACTGCACTCCAGCCTGGGCAACAAAGCAAGACTCTGTCTCAAAAAATAAATAAATAAATAATAAAAATCTGATAAGGTGCCTGGGAATTGTTGGGCCCCACCCTGGCTCTCCTTCCATACTCAGCCATCCCTCGGGTGTACAGGAGACAAGGCAAGGCAGCTGTGGCCCTGTGCCCATTCTCACTGCCCAGTCCCTGGCCGCCTTTGCTGTGGGTACCACTACTGGGCCCCTCTCCCTTAGAGACTGTGTCCTAATGAAGCCTTTCACTTTCCTTGCTGGATTTCCATTAAGGAAACTCCTGGTTCCTCATGAAGCCTTTAAAAAAATCACCCTCCACTGAGGACGAGGGCTGCTGCGAAGTCTCCAGGGAGGCCATGTAAGGGATATGGGGCTGTCTTTGGGCCAGGCCTCCAGTGGCTAGCTAACAGCCTGCATGCAGGGACACTGCTGATGGGAGGACTCAGCTGACCAGTCTTGACCTCTTTACCCCAGAGAGGATGATGACCAGAGTACCCCCTAATCCACCCAAAAGGGCCTGTTTCACTGCTGTGAGGAATGACCAGGGCAAGGAGACAGTTGCGGGCTGATAGGATTCCAAAGTAACTCAACAGAGGCCTGGAACAGAGTCCAGCTGTCTATCACCAAATGGAGGGGACTGGACTCAGGACACATGAAGCCCAGATTGATGGAGGGCGAGGCAGGCTCTGCTCTCACAGATGAAGGCATAGGGAAATGACGTGGTACGCCAGCCACTTGCTCTGTGGACATGATCTCATCTGTTCACCCCCCTACTCCTGCCCCCAGCTGATAAGAATCTGGTGATGTTTCCTGTAGTCCAAGGGTCTCAGACAATGGTGTGAACGGCTGGCCCTACTGGAAAGGACATTGTTCAGGGAAGAAAAAACAACACACCAGCACAAAGCCAGGGCAGGACCTGTCGAAATGTAAGGGGCTGTTTACAAACCCATGATTTCTAAGGGGAAGAACACAATGGAGAATTGTTTTGGCAAGGCTGGTGTCTCCTCCAGTATGCTCCCGGGGGCTGGAGATGGCTTTGATGGTCCAGACAGGTCTCAGATGCTCTGAAAAGGATGGACACTAATGGCGCAGATGCCTTCCTGTTTATTAGGGGTATGTGCAGGGCAGGGTCAAGAAGCCAGTTTACACCAAAGACAAGGGGAAGGGGCTCCTGGGGCTTACCCCTTCCATCTGGACCTCATGCTGTCAAGTTGCTCAGGGATCCCAGGATTAGAGCAGGTTTGCTAGGGAGAAGTGAGGGCACGGGTTTTTTGTTTTGGGGAAAAAAATCAGTTCTTCGGTTTTTCTGTCGTTTTTTGGAAAAATGTACAAGCCATGACACCTTTGCAAATAGCCAGCTTCTTTGAAATGGAGCTTCCTGGCTTAGTCACTAGGGAGACTTCTTTTTGAGACGGAGTCTCGCTCTGTCCGCCAGGCTGGAGTGCAGTGGTGCGATCTCGGTTCATTGCAAGCTCTGCCTCCCAGGTTTACGCCATTCTCTTGCCTCAGCCTCCTGAGTAGCTGGGACTACAGGTGCCCGCCACCGCGCCCGGCTAATTTTTTGTATTTGTAGTAGAGATGGGGTTTCACATTGGCCTCGATCTCCTGACCTTGTGATCTGCCCGCCTCGGCCTCCCAAAGTGCTGGGATTACAGGCGTGAGCCACCGCGCCTGGCTCACTAGGGAGACTTCTCACACCTGGGGGCCCCCATGATGCTGTGACTGGGGGCACCTGGGAAACTGATGCTGTCTCCCTGGGGTCAGGGCCAGTGGAGGTGCTGCTTCTCACAGCATCCTCCCACCCCACCCATAGAGGCTAGAGCCTTTGAGCCATCACCCAGAGATCCTGATGTCAGTGAGTGTGCATTCGGGTGGACATGGACCTGTGCATGTGTGCACTTGGGAGGAGGGTGGGGCAGAAAAGGAATAGAATCATATCCCACATTCCCCTTGGGACTGGCAGTCGCCATTTTTGGTGGAGGAGAGGGCAGCGGGATGCCTCTCAGTGAGTAACTGGGAGACATTTTTGGTGGGTCAGGGGAGCCACTTTGGATCTGGAGGGACTATGAAGGAGGTCTTGTCTGAGGATTTGACCTGTGAGGGGGAACCGTCATTAGTAGCTTTCAAACTCATCTCTAATCCCAACAGGAACGTGCCTCATGAATAAATTCAAACAGATGTGTTTAGAACAATTGAGGTGCAATAAGTCTCAAGCAATCCTGAAACAGAAGCAAGATTTTCATAAGCCATTCCCAGCCTTCCAGGTCTGGGGTGGGGGGGAGGTCATAATCATCTTCATCAACATGCTAACGCTGCCCTCTGGTGTTTGGCAGCAAAACACAGGCTTATGAATACGGGGTACGGAGGGAGCATCCATCAATTCTGTAGACATTAAACTGCCTCTGAACGTGGAGTCCTGGGCCAGGCATCATGAGGGGAAGAAAGGTTAATAAGACAGACAGGTCCCTGCTGATAAGGAGCTTCTGATCTAGCAGAAGAGACAGACCCACAACTGTAGGACAGACAGAGAATGACATGGGCTATAACAGGGGTACAAATAGAGCCAGTAAGAGTGCCTAGAGATGAAGAAGTAGCCCTTAGGCTGTGTTTAACAGGCTGAAGATGGATGCCAGGATTCTCCAGGCTGAGAACCCCAGGCCCAGGGCCCAGTATTCTGAGG